TTCCGCAGTAGAACATTGAAATCCTGATTTTTTAAATTCAATTTATTTGAAATGATTTTATAGTTGCCTACTACAGCTATTTAATCTTTGATAAAAAAACGTGTAATAACCCTAGAATTATTAAAATTAGAAAACTGTGTTTGTTCAATATAGATTGTTTAACAATATTGAAGAAATTAATTCGGGAGCGGCAATATGCAAAAAGTTTTTTGTAAATTTTAATCAAAATAATTTTAAATAATAACTCGAAAAGAAGAATAAGTAACTTCTTAACTATAACTATCATATAATTATTAACACACAAACAATCTTGAAAGTTAACGAGGCAGAAAGCAACAAAAACAAGTTGAGAAGATATTGTTGTTAACGATTGAGGTATAACACAATCAATTATTCTAAACTTTTTTAAACGCTCGTTAAATCTTTCTATATGGATCCTGGCTTTTGCAATTCTTTTTGTCAGCATTATTTCTTCCGCAGTAAATTTTTCTCATTTACCCAAAAAAGGTGGAATAAATAAAGTAGCTTGTTTTTCTAAAAGTAAATGTTGAATTTTAAACCCCTTATCTACAAGAAATGTGTCTTCCGGATTAATATGTTTCATAATACCACATGAATACCACAGTAGGAGAGATTGAATTTTGCAGGTCCAAGAAAATCATATAAGCTAGAAAATTGAGCCGATGTTAAACCAATAAAATATTTACATTTAACTTCAGAAGATAAAATATACTCCATCGACATGAAATTACTATTTGGTACACTTGATATACTGGAAGAACTTGAATAAGATGATGAGGGAAATCGAATATAATTGTCTAGACTTCTTTTTAAAATAACTGTTTCAATTTTTGATGCAAGTAGATGTTTATCATAAATGGTTTGCGTAGACTGATCACAAGTTTTAACAATAATATTATTTGATTCATTTAAAACTAAAGAATTACAATGATCATTTAATTTACTACTGATTTCAAATAGGATATCACTGCCTTCAGTAAAATCATTTTTTGAATTAAGTCCGCAATAAGATTGAGAAACACTTTCTATTTGAAAATCAACAAGACTATAAATAACAGTTTATCTCTTTTGCTTAGACTTAATAACAACATCGCGAATGGTTGGATTTTTTCTTTTTCTTTTGTTAATAGAGTAAATCTGCTGTTCTGTAAGGTTTGCTTTCAATGGATTAGGATGTTCTTTAGTAGGACCTTTGCTTTCAAAAAAATATAACGAACAAATATACGTATCTTTCTTTATATTGTTAATATTAAAAGATTTTCTACCACAAGCATGAATCCATTTTTTACATAATTTTGTTTTAATGTTTTGTTTTTCTTTTTCCGAATCTGGCATCCATTCCATTCAATTCTAAAATTCGTTGCGCGTGAAATTTAAAAATCTATTTATAGACACGCAACCCTACGCTATTTAAATAAATTGTAAATTCAAATTTTAGAAATAAAATTTTAAATTAATTATTAATTTATATTTAAAGTTAAATTTTATATTTAAAGTTAAATTTATAGTTAAATTAATTATTAAATATTTGTAATGTATAGTTTCTGAATTCAAAGCTATGATACCTGTGCATACTAAAATATTTTAGATGATGATGATGATGATGATGATTATGATGATGATGATGATGATGATGATGATGATGATGATGATGATGATGATGATTATGATGATGATGATGATGATGATGATGATGATGATGATGATGATGATGATGATGATGATGATGATGATGATGATGATGATGATGATGATGATGATGATGATGATGATGATGATGATGATGATGATGAATTATTTATATTTAGAAACATCAGAGATGTGCACAGCACTGAAAAATTATTATCGTGAAAATTATGGAAAAGTAAATGAAATTCAACCACCATTAAAAGCACCTGCAAATGTTGATTTAACGGATAACTTTATTGATCTATGTATTGTTGATGCAGTTAATACTCAAATGGATGTTGTTTTTAATTTTGAACGAAAAAAATTTCTTGAAAAGCAAATGAACTATACACCTATTTCATATAGTGAAATTTTTATGAAAGAAAAATCTGAAATATTAATATCTGGAATAGCTGGTATTGGAAAAACATGGTTGCTTCGAAAATGTTTGCTTGATTGGTCAAACAATTTAATTTGGAAAAATGTTGAGCTTGTGTTTTATTTGGAATGCAGAAGGCTTAATCAATATCAAAATATTTCTAATATTAATGAATTACTAAATGTTTTCTACAAAGATGTTATAAATGATTTTAGTATTAGTAATCATTCTGCACTGTTTATAATTGATGGATTAGATGAGTTTAAATACTTAAATGAGTTAATAAATTGCAGTTCAAGTTGTAACTATCCAATAGTTAATATTTTAACAGAAATTCAAAAATACAAATATGTAATTGCTGGTAGAGTTTATGCAGTTGATCAGTACCAAAGTATATCTATAGAGCATAGTAATAAATTATCCATTCAAATAATGGGTTTTAACCAAAAAGGAATAGATAGTTATATAGAAAATAAAGTTAGTGATGAAAAAAAAGATGTTGTAAAGGAAACTTTAAGCAGCTCTCCAATTGCAAAAGCCATGGCGTCTGTTCCATTTTATTTATGTTCCATGTGTAAAATTATTGGTGTTTCAAACGAAATAAATAAAAATTCTTTCTTAACAATGACAAATTTATATGCTAGTATTTTTTTATACTTTTTTCAAAATCACATCAAAAAAACGAATAAATTGATCAATAAGATAATCGAAGAGGATTCCATTAAGAAATATATTTTAAATATTTGTAAAATTGCATATGAATTGTTTGTTGAAAATAAAGTAATTTTTTCAGAAGAAGAATTTCAAACTTTTATCATTGATTTTGATAAGATTGAAAGTAATCTTTTTGGATTTATAGAAATGATTGAAACAAATCTGGGATGTTATTATCAATTTGCACACTTAACAATAATGGAGTTTTGTGCATCTGTATATGCATATAATTGTTTAAGTAGTGAAGAGATTATTGCCAATAAAAAGCTGGAGAGTTGTTTATCAATGATTTGTGGATTAACTAATAAAAGTCAAAATAATTTATTAAAGTTTCTTGTTAACTTGAATCCTTCGAAAATTTGTTCTGAAGAACTTTTGTTTTTAATTTTAGGTAAGTTCAAAAACGCATTATAATGAGTCAATGTATAGAAACATAAAGCTGGTTAATAAGATATGAAAAATATTTAGTTTTTTACCTTTTTTTTCTAAAAATAAGTTATTTCTGTCAATGCAATTTATTTTAGGGGTAAGTAGGGTATTTTTGTCAATTCAAATTTTTTGTTTGTTTTATAATTTTATGTATTTAATTTATATTTATTTATTTTTATACTGCTACAAAAAATTGATTAAAATCAAATAAAATAGTTTTAAAAATAAAAAACAAAAATGGGTTTAAAATAATTATTGAATTATTTATTAAATTTGCTATTTCTTTACATTAAATTTACAAAAAAAAATTTATAAACTTATTTGACATTATAGGATGATTGTTTTTTTAAAGCTTTTTAACTTTAGGATAGTTGGTTTCAGTTACTTTTGAAGTTAAAAATAAGCTAAAATTGTCATAGTTAACAATAATCAAAGATTATCAACAAATAAATTGATATAACAATCTGATAACAGAGTGCATATTAGTAATATTACGCCATTTTCAATATTAGCGATTTTAAATTTAAACCAGAGTTGAGGCAGTTCATAACAAACGATGTTTATTTTACCTAAGTTGAGCTGAGTTAGTTGTTTAAAAATTAGGTACGTACCAAATATGTTATATATCAAATAAACAAAATGTTTTATATATCGTTCGACTTGTCTTGTTTTATAGGTAAATAAATTGTTTTTTAATTTGCTTAATAGGTTAATTTATTGTTTTTTAATTTGTTATGTGAGTTATTTTTTAGTTCATTGTTTATGTTCTCCAATGACAGTTTAAGTTAATAATCACATTTTCATGCTTTAAACTTGATTTATAGTCATTATATAAAATGCGATTAAAAAAATTCTCAAAAATTTTTTATTCTTCGCAATTCGCTGTATTTTCATTTTATAAAAATTGTTGCGATAGTTACGATATGTTTATCTATTAGCAATACGGTTGTTTAGAATTTAATTAATTTTGTTCGAATTTATTGAAAGATTTTTTAAAGTTCGATGATCGAGTTTCTAATATTTAAAATCTCACAATTTGGTTTTTTTTTTCATTAAATGTTTTTAGGAATCATTTTGTCACCTGTAATTAGTTAATTATTTAAGAAATCGTATTGAAACTAAATTCAAATTGGTACAAAACATTTTTTTGTATTGATATCAAGCGTATCATTATTTTTTTGACAAATTAAATTTTTTTATTACAGGGTTATTCATTCTTATATGCGCGTCTATTCATTTTTATATGCGCCTTTATTCATTCTTATATGCGCATTTATTCATTTTTATATGCGCCTTTATTCATTCTTATATGCACATTTATTCATTTTTATATGCGCCTTTATTCATTTTTATATGCGCATTTATTCATTTTTATGTGGTTTACAAAAGCAATTTTAAAAAAGCAATTTGAACCAAAAAAAATCATTTAATAAAATCATTGAAAAAACGGTTTATTATTTCAATGCAAATTTTTCTTATTTCCTGGTAAACGAGTTTAAAAATACTTATAAGACGAAGACTTTTTACATTTGATGATGGTTTATTTAATTTAGTATTAGTTCTTAGTTTAATTTTATTACATTGTATTAAATTGTATTATTGTATTAAATTTCTTGATTAATTAAGTTATTTTTTAGCTAATTATTTATTTTTCTAGATTTATTATTTATTTATTTAAAATTATTAATACCAAATTTTTACCCTATGGATGGAATAGAAAATAATCGTAAAACAAGGAAAAATGGGTAATCGGTAAAATGCGAACCGCGAACTGCGAACCGGTAAAATGCGAACTTTTTTGCGAATCAAAACATTACATTTTAATGACCGCAATATAATATATTAAAGTTATATAAAACGTTTGCTATTCAATTCTTTCTTTTATTAAATAATATAATGGAATTAGATTTATTTAAATCTTTACCCGCTGAATTCGCTGTTCGGTACAAACCAAAAGCTGGTACTAATTACATTTTCTCGTGGACTAATGACAAGGATAAAGGTAAGATATGTGAATATATATATATATATATATATATATATACACTTACTAAAGCGTGTTTTGATAAGCATTTGCTCACTTTTTGTGCTTACTTCAAGGTAAACCCTTTTTTTCGAAAAAGAAGAAGAAAAAAACGAAGAATGATAAATAAAACGATTGCTTCCCCATCCCAAACCCTCAGTCGATGTAGCAGCACTTCACTGCGAGTCAGGCTATTTGTTAGTCGTTGTATGTACTGAAGCCCCCAGCAGCCGGCTATTTCAGTATGACGTCAGATTGCTTACCAAAGTACGCAATACTATTTGTATATATATATATATAAAATTTATACAATTTATTCACATTTTAAAAGAATTAAGGATCGTTTGAAGATTAAATTGTTTTTAAATTAAAAACCAAGGAAAATTATTCACAATAACATAAAATATTATTTAGAAAATTGGCGTGCAGATGGTTACAGGTGGAGGCAAGGGGGTTCAAAGACAATTAATGGAATTAAAAGGAAGTATTTTAGAATTCTTGTTGCACAAGACACAGTAAGTGATGTGTTTGTACGTAGAACACACTATCATGCTGATTATGCTAGTTCAGTTCTGATATCATACATAGGTGATGAAGCTAAGGCTGTGCAGTTTCCTCATGGAAATGCTACTAGATGTAATAGAGATTTTATCAGGACACAGCCAGGTGTTATAAACCAAATTAAGGAAAGTACAGGTTCTGTCCAAAAAGTATACAAAGACATAATATTATCAAATACAGCTGATATAAATATAACAGCAGTTCCACGTAACATGGAACAAGTCAGTAATACTTTAAAATCAACACGCAATCAGCAGCGTTTATCTAGAGATAGTTTATACAATCTTCATGAATTAGCGTATGATACAAATTTTATTCATAGTATAATAACATTTCCTGATTTGGTGGTAGTTATGTACTCAGATGAAACACTGCAAATTTTTCAGCAAGTACTGAAATTGTCTCAACTACCTTAGCAACTATCATATGATACAACTTTTTCTTTAGGCGACTTCTATCTTTCTGTTTTGCTATTTAGAGAAACTGAGTTTGACCCAAGTCCAATCATTCCACTAGCTTTTATGATACATGAGCGAAAAACACTAATGCCCCATTCCATATTTTGGCAACATATGAAATTAGTATGCCCAGAACTTGCTTTAAAGAATGTTTTTATTGTCACAGATCAAGAACGAGCTATAACAGAGGCCATCAAAGAAAGTTTTCCATCAGTTTCACATTTTCTTTGTTGGAACCATGTTTTGCAGGACAGTAAGCGATGGTTACAATTGCATGGAGTGAAGACAAAAGATGAATTAGCATATTACACTGAATGTATTCAATCTCTTCTTCGTTCTGATTCTGAATCTTCATATAAAGATAAACTAATAACAATGTTATCAGCATGGAGTCAGCCTTTTTCTGAGTACTATATCAAAACAATTCATAGTGTAGTAGACAAACTTGGATCTTGGAGAATTAAACAGTTTAACTTTCATGAAATTACAACAAATCAATCAGAAGCATTTAATACTGTAATTAAGCGACTACAGGACTGGAAAGAGGCTACTGTAGATTCAATGGCTTTAAGCTTATATAGACTTATACAATATAGTATGGTGGAAATTTATCGTGCTCGAAAAGGAACTGGCCAATATGAATTAAGAGCTGAATTGAAAGGTACTTATGAAGAATGTGATCTTCATATTCCAGATACAACAGCACCAGAACAAATTGTTCAACGTATTAAAGAAACCATCAACAATCAATTTATGCATAATACATCTAAAAGGTTAGAGTTAGTACAAGATACAACTATGATAACTTCTGTTGAAAGGGCCAATGAAATCATTAGAAATTCTCATATTGCTCTTGACCCCAAACTTGCAACCTTTATTGTAAAAGGATCTATAGAACCACGTGTAGTAAAACTGTTTCCAAAAGAGACATGTTCATGTTCAGCTGAAAGTAGATGTTATCATATATTGGCAGCACGCCAGGCTATTGGTCTATCTGTTACAAACAACAAAAAAAAACAGGTTAATCTAACACAACTTCGTCGAAATACAAGAAAAAAATCTGACAAAACAGGAGGAAGAAAAAGACCAAGAACACTTGATATTGAAGTTATTCCAGCAGGAGATGCTAATCCAGACGAAATAAAAGATTTGATAGCTAAAGTTAATGCCTTAAAAAAACATGATATATATATATATATATATATATATATATATATATATATATATATATATATATATATATATATATATATATATATATATATATATATACACACACATATATAGATAGATCATGTTGATAACAACTTTAAACAAAAGAAAAGTAAACAAAAACTATAAATAAAGTTTGTACATAGTTTATATAAATACATATATATAATATAATTAATAAAGTACGTATAATATATAAAATATATTTTTAACTAATTATATTTACTTATCAAAACAGAGTGTAGAATATATATTTATAGTAACAAAAGGTGTACCTTGAATGTTGTTTTTTTTAATATCATATCCCTTTTTTATGAATCTTCGTTATAATATATGAATCTGTAGAAGAAGTATAAACAAAGAACTATTTCTTCATTATACATTTTTTACAGATTTTTTTTACTATTCACTTTTTCATCTTAAGTATCTGTTTTTTTCGCAGTTTTCTTTTTTCATACTAGTTTTACTCAATTTGTTTTTTTAAATAAATGCTTTTGCGTGTAGTCCTTAAAATATTTTGGAAAATAAACAATTTAACGGCAAACGGAAAATAAAGTATTACATCATTAACAACCAATAGAACCATGGTTCGCAAAAAAGTTCGCATTTTACCAGTTCGCAGTTCGCGGTTCGCAGTTCGCATTTTACCGACTACCGGAAAAATGTTACAAAAGAGCAAATTGAAATGCTTAAGCATTTAGTTGAAAGAAATCAATCTACAACAAGCATTTCCCCTTCTCTTAATTTATCGAAGCGCACAGTTCAAAATCTTGTCGTTAAGTTAAACAGAGGAGAATTCGACGACATGACTGCATTTAAGTCGTCTTCTGATAAAAAACGAGGTGAAAGACCTATAAACGCTCAAATAAAAAGTATTATCGAATTATGCGTACAAGATAACAATCTTTGCACGCAAGAAGCAATAAAAGAAAATCTTTCTGCAGCAGGCTTCAACATGTCTCAGCCTACTATTTCAAGAAAACTCAAACGCTCGGATTTATCAAGAAAACATGTTGTGCATGTGCCAGAAGAACGAAATTCAACACGAATTATTAATGCGCGTTATGCATTTGCAAGCGAACTTAACGGAATTTCAAATGAAAAACTTATTTATTTGGATGAAAATGGATTTAATGTGCACACTAACAGCACATATGGTTATTCGCTGAGAGGTGCGCCAGCAATTTTACACTCGCCTGCAAATCGTGGCAAGAATGTTAGTTTAATTTGTGCTGTTTCAACAATGGGAGTGCTTGCTTATGAAACAAAAACTGGAGGCTGGAATGCAGATTCATTTTGTACTTTCTTAACTACAATGATGGCACCAGCGATTAGGAATGCAAATGTGGAAGCGCCGGTGCTTGTTATGGACAATTGTAAATTCCACTGGAGTCTTTCTGTTAGGCAAATACTAGCCTCTCATGGTATAGCTATTAAGTATCTGCCAGCTTACACGCCACAGCTTAATCCAATAGAAGAATTTTTTTCTTCTTTAAAACATACTTACAAGCAGGGAGAAAGGCCTCGAAATACGGATGAGGTAATCAGGAAACTTAAAAATATTATGGATACTACAGAGTTTAATATAGTTCCATTTTACAACCATATGCGTAGTTATATAAATCAAGCGCTGGCTCGGCAACCATTTCATAAATAAATAACAATGAAAACAACCTAATTTATATTTTAAATATGTCTATATAAAAATTTAAAAGCGTATTTATCGTTTATATTAAATTATATTAGAGATTTTATGGGTGGTTGACGCATATACAAACATAGGGATGTATAATTTGATATTAATAATAATTATAAACCAGTGGCGGAACTACTGGACACAGGACCCTGCGTTGCGGGGGGGCCTACTAGCTATAGGGGGCCCTCATATAAAAAAAGTTATACTCTCAATAATATTTATACTATAAAACTCTTTTCCGCAAAAAAAACATTCTTTTGCGGGGGGGGCCCAAATTTTGAAGTTCCGCCACTGTTATAAACAATTAAATTTAAATCTAGATAAATGAATAATTAGATAAATAATAACTTAATCAATCAAGAAATTTAATAATAAAATTACGAATAACTAATACTAAATTAAATAAACCATCGTCAATGTAAAAGGTCTTCGTTTTAAGTATTTTTAACCTCGTTGACCTGGAAATAAGAAAAGTTTGTTTTGAAAAAATAAACTATTTTTTCAAAACAAATTGCTTAAGTGATTTTTTTTTGTTCAAATTGCGTTTTTACAATTGCTTTTGTAAAACGCATATAAGAATGAATAAAGGCGCATATAAAAATGAATAAAGGCGCATATAAAAATGAATAAAGGCGCATATAAAAATGAATAAAGGCGCATATAAAAATGAATAGACGCGCATATAAGAATGAATAACCCTGTAAGATACAAGAATTAACAAAACGTTTGATACATTTTTGAAGTAATTTTAATTTTCAGCTCATTCTTTTTAAATATAAACAACAAGATAAAACTTGTCATACTGATTTTTCGACGTTTTGAGATGTTAATCGATAGTATTTTTAATTGACTTTCTTTTCCATTCTTTCTTTTTTTCTTTCTGTTATTATTCCGGTTAGAAATTTTTTTTGTATTTCTTCCTGCTTAAAACGTATGTTTAATTTTTGCCGAAAATGTACTACTTTTATGTATATACTTTAGCTCAAAAGTACAGTGAAATATCAAATATATAAAGTAAAAAATATATATTTATAAAATGATTCTGTAAAATAAAGCTTTTAACAACTTGTAGTACTTATTTTTTTATATTTTTCAAGAACAAAAATTTTTCAATTTATTATTATTAACAAAAAAAACATTTTTTGTTATAAATCAAGAGATTCGTTGTTTGTTTTTGTCATTTTTTAACATTAAATTGATTTAAAAATGTGTTAATTGATATTTGTTCATTTGCTTTCATTCTTCTATTTAGTATACTATTTTAAAAAAATTTGTCTTAAAAAATACTTGGTATTTTTTATTGGTACCTAAAATAAGAATTTGTGTTTGGTTTGGAAAATGCCGCTTCTATTATACTTCTAGGCTTACATACTTTTACATATACTTTTATTTGAATAGATATGTTAAAGCATAGGCTTTAACCCTGGTTGATATGTTTTAACAATGATTTTTGATTATGATTTTAATCTATTATTTTCGAATAAGTTTTAATATCATTTTCCTTTGTTTTCCGTATTTCTTTTTATAAGTATTTCTTATTTCTACGTGGAATTTTATTGTTCACTCTAAATAAACGGAGATTGCATCACTTAATATATTTTATAATATAAAATAACAAATTATAAACATATATACCATAAAGCATATAAATTGTGAGTTGTTATTTATTTATTTTTTTTAAGTTTTAATTATTAATAATTAAATAATGAAATTATTTTGTTTTATAAATATGATAAATAAAAATTATTTATCATATTTAATATATTTATTTATTTAAATTATTTAAATTGTTTTTAAATAAATAAAATTTAATTATTTGAATGATAAAATATCATAATAATTATAAATTGATATTGATTTATGTATTATTATGTAGAATATTATGTTTATGATATTATAATTTCGATTATTTAATTTTTATTTAATTGTTATTTTATATTTATTTTTTCTTTAGATCGTCTACTTAAATTATATCGTCAAAGTAAAAACGATTTTCATCTTGAAACTGATTACGTTAATTTATTTATTGAATGTTTTTATGAAAGTCAATCATCGTTTACTGATAAAATAAAATTAATCGTCGATGAACGAGAGTGGAAGATTTTGATTGACGATGGAAAAACTTCTTACGAAACTTCTTGTGAAAATTATTTCGTAAATCATTACATTAAATCTGGAAGAAAGTTATCGCACTTAGGTGTTTGTAAAAATATTTTAAGCGATGAAGAAAAAAATCTTATAATTCAATGCTCAACAAATGTTCGCAATGTCGGCTTTACTTGTCTGGTTAAAATCGAAGGATGGAAACCGAAAGATAAGATTGAAAGATTGTCGATAGACATTGTCAACTCACGTGGTGATATTAATCGTAATCTAGATTTAATAACGAAAAAAGATTTTGAAGAAAATTTTCTTCCGTGGATTAATCTTTGTGAAGAATTAAATCTTATACTTCACGACGGCATCGATTTCATTAAAGAGATTTATGAATGGATTCGATGTTTGAATTTCAAGTATTTGTGGATCTACTCCCGTGGAGAAGGTTTTCGTAACCTCGATGAATTAAAAAACTTTATAACACAGAAAAATATTTAATCTTGAATAAAATATAAACAATAATTATAAAATAATAAATAAAATATTTAATATATTATTTTATAATTAAATATGTTTTAAAATATACGAAAAAATTTTAATAATTTTTTAGTGGAAATCTTTTGTTTAATATTTTATAAATTTAAAATTTTTGTTGTATATGTTTAATTTTTTTTTTTTTAAATAAAATATTAAATATATTTTATTATATTGTAAAAGTTATTTTAATTTTTGATTTACTAAATATATACTTATGTTCATGACAATTATTTTTAAATTTTAAAGTTTCCACCATTTGTTTCTTCACACAATTGTTGTTGTCAAAATAAAAAAATTCAAAAGTTTGGTAGAATTTTTCTTCGAATTTTATTCGTAAGTAAAAGTTAAATTTTAAGTTACAAATAAAGTTGTTTACTTAATTGTAAATTAATAAATAGGTATCATTTTTCAAAATGTTAACATCATCAGGAGCGGATCAGGCTGTAGCAAGTGAAGCATAATGCTACAGTCAACTCAGTTTTTCTTTCCCTTTTTATTTGTTACATACATTTTTTTTTTAATGCGAAAGAGAAAAGTAATTTAAACAAGATGTTACAAGTAGTTAAAATGCGGCGCTTCAAAAATTTATTTATAACTGTAGCTGAGCCAAGTTGACTATGTTACAGAAATATAATATTCGGAAAAATGAAATGCTTTATTTCTAAACCTAAGTTTTTAATGGGTTTCGTCTCACAAGAAGTTAAATAAAATGGCATATTAACTTTAGCAAAAGTCATTTTGTCATAATTTGAAACGACTCAGTGATCAAGTGAAAAATATGCCTGATTTACCTTACTTTTTTAAGCATTAATATGTAATTCCTGATTATATGTACTGATAAGTGAATTTTTACGAGAAAAAGTTTAAATTTAATAGATAACGTCTATTAGGAAAAATACAACTATTCATCTCCTCTGAGGAGGTCCTACAAGTCAGGATCAAAGTTATGAACATGAAAGAACAAAGTTATAAAATATGAATAGCAAATGTCTTAGGGTTCCTGAAAGCAATCAAAGAGATCACAGGGTCGCTTCCACATCACAATAGTTCTAGATACTTTGCATGTGTGATTGAGTCTTTTACCTTGTATGGACTTATTTTGTACTTCCTGAGCCTCCTCAGAATCAACTCCAAGGGGAAGATCCAAGTGCTCAACAATTAAAAACCCATGTTCCAAGGACAGGTTTCCATTATTAGCTCTGAAATTTGATAGTATGCTTTAAATGGTAATAAAAAAAATCAAAAAAAGGCATAAAATACTAGCAAGTCACAAATTATACACATAAAGAAATAGTAATTAAAACGCTGTTA